GCTTTCTGTGACAGAAATCTTGATAACAAAATCCATAGGTTGGACTTTTTTTAGAACCACTGAGATTATTTTCTAAAAATACTCATAGAATTCATGGCTATAGCGATGTTGAACTGCATAAACTATATGTAGGTGCAGTAGAACGACCATTCCACTTTCATTCCAGACTGATCACATGGAACATCAGTGCACTGATGCTACAACTCTTATAAATTTCATAATGCTGCAATAGCAGTGGTTGACTTAACCTTAAAATAAACAGTATTTGTCATAGTTTATCTGGCTTCCTTCCATAAATATTCATATGTTTTCCTATAGTACTTCTCTTCCATAAAAATATCTAATAAATGTTTTCTGTGCATTAATACCTTTTACTAACCATTCATAAAACTCTGATCCTTTGTAACAATGCAAGAGGTTCCTGTTTCTGTAGAGGATCAAAGGACATCAATGATTACATATAAAACCAGCGCACACAGAAATCAGGGTGCCTAATTTCTTGTCACTTTAAGGAGTTCTTTATTCAACACAGTAATTATTAAGGAATTCAGCGGTTTCACAAATACTCTATTTATTAATTCTGATTCTATTTCAATTAAAAACTGCCAAGATTTAAATAAAAAAACCAATCAAATATTCTACTTGTAGGCAGCATCAGTATTAGTTTAGAGACCTTTTGTTTTTGTTTTTCCTTTTTTAAAAAGTAGAATTCTAAAATAAGAAATCAAAGAAAGCACTGTGGCAGAGTCACAAGGGAGAACTGCGTGAAAAATAAGGTTTCTCACTCCTCTTGTGGACTGTAATTTTAAAAGTCTTCATATAGTGTCATTCTTCTGTCAGTGCTGCAGGAAGAAGAACATCACCAGAAATGACTGTCAGCCTTTTTTTTGTTAGTTACAAGGCCACTCATACAGTGCAGTCTTCCTCTCTGCTGGGTTGAAATGTTGCCATAAAGGAAAGGCTGTGCTGTGACTGCTTGGCGTGCAAGGCACAACAAGGAATGGGGGGGGACAGTTTTTGTATCAGAAAATTGTAGTTTCATACTTGGTATTAATGCCTCTTTTGGCTTCTTGTCCAGGTTCAACAATCCACGGTAGATTCGCAAGAGTCTTTTGTTCAGACGGGTCTATCTGCTGTGAGACAAAAGCAAACATACAGACGGGTTACCATCTCCGTGCACAGCACTTCCAGCACCAGTTTTTTCTTTACACTAATAAAACACAAATGCAAATCCTGCACTGACAAAGTCCTACAGCAGCGAGTGTGGTGGTCTACACTCCCATGCACCCATGGTTGCTCCCTTTTTCCCATTTAGATCAGAGCTGTGCCCAGCCCTAAGCTCTAGGGCATCTCAGCTGGTTAAAGCCATGCCTGATCCCAAGAAGGCCTTTTGCTGCTGAGACAGGTGATGGTGTCAGGAAACGTTCTGCCTTAAAATTTTACGGAGGAAGATTTTATGGCAATGGATGAAAAAGTGTGCAGTCATACTTTTTTTTCCCCCTCTTCCTTCCATCCAATAATTAAGTACCACAGCATATGATTCTCACTTTATAGCAAGTATGATACGGTGTGCAGTCATTTCTCCCCAGTCACTCTGTGCCTGTATTCTCACTTGATTTAAAATACTTTTCATTATTTTTTTAAAAGCTGTGCCATAAAAGAGTATTTCTCTCTCATCTATGCACTTCAGGAGGGCACTTTAAAGACCATCAATATGCAGGCTCCAATGAGCTTCGATTCTTAGGAATTTGGGATTCCAAAGAAAATACTGAAAAGTTAAACTGGATCCCAGTTTTGGAACAGGAAGATCTGCCAAGGGTCAAAAAAAGGAAAGAATTAAGAAAAGAAGTTGCTTGGTCTGCCAAAATAATTGTAAATTGATCTGGATTTGTAATTTGATTAGGATATGTATGCAGTCATTGTGTACCAAAGAAGTTTGGTGAGGGTTTTATTTCTCAACAGGAGATCGGGCAAGTCCACACAATCACAGAGTTTTAGGGGTATGAACAGGTTGAAATCCTCAGCACTTAAAAAAGCACAATACATTGGATTTAGACTGAATCAATTAAAGCTCTGCAATTACTAGAAAACACATATGCACAACACGAGCCAGGAAACATCTTAAACTGGAGGAATGTGAAATGAGCAGTTGTTTGAAATGCCTGCCCGTGCTGCAGCAACACAGCTCTACCGAGTGATGAGGTGAGGTGGCACAGCTGAGACATGGGCTATTTCTGACTTGACAGGTACACTTATTGATACAGCTTCTTGTATATAACCTCTTAACTATATAGCTGATTTATTTATTTATTTGTTTGTTTGTTTATTTATCTATTTATCTATTTACTTATTTATTCAGTATGCTCAACTACCTTCTACTTACCACTGACTTCCGAATACTAACACGTGGTTTGGGAATAGGTTTGGAGGGTTTATTTTCAAAGCTTTCTGGGAGGGTTGAAGAATGGCCCCCTTTCCGTGCTTGTAGTGCAAGCTGATAGGCCACCTCAAATGCTTGTCCTAGTGTAAGGATGATTTCGTAAGCTAAATTCTGGAACAAAAGAGAAACAGTTAAAATTGGAGTGATGTTGAATTATCGTCAGATACATGAAGTGTGGAAGCACTGTCTACAGAAGTGATTTGTAACGTAAATAATTAAAATCATGCTGGTAATAACTTCCTTGGTCTCTGCAATATTTACATCTGTCATTTGATTTATCGCTGATTAAAAGCAATCTAAATGTAATTTATTGTACTGAAAGTAATTACTTCTAAAAGCCTTGAAGCTGTTGCCTCACTAAACACAAAAAGAGTGGGTGAGTGGGTGTCACCTCCTTTTTAGAACAAACACATTAGAAACCCCCGACATACGCCTTCCTAGCTCACCCCACATCTGTGGCTCTCACAATCCCACCCACCTTGCACTACAGCACCTATCTGACGTTTCAGCCTTGCCCTATTTCAGAACTCCTCTGCTGGCACGTCCTCCTCCAGCGCTGCTTCCCCAGGCGTGCGCCTCAGGGTGCTCCGTGCTCCTCCCAAACTGCGGAGCAAGAGGATGCAGCATTGGGGTGATGCTTCCAAAAGGACAAAAAGGAGACATCGGAAGGGCACGCTCTGCTTCCACGGGTGCAGGGCACCTCTGTATGCACAAAAAGTCAGTGGCTCCGCTTTGGATGCATGTTACAGGCGCAGCGGAAACCTTCTCCTGGTTTTGTTTTTCAGAAGTGAAAATGTTTGAGCTTAAACTGGCATGTCAGGATACTCTTGTAGGCAGGGACAAGGGTTAATATGTATGGTCTTAAGACTAAGACCACTTGGCTGGTATAGTTAGAATTTCTTAAGTTCTCTTTCCAAATGCGGAAGAAAACCTGTTGAAAGGTTTACAAAGCATGCATGAGGAGCCAGGAGGTTGGTATAAATATTATTTCAGTGTGGCTTCCCATCAGTGAAAAAGCAGCTGCCGAGTTCCAAATTTGACCCTAATCTAAACTGTGAGCAAATTTCTATGGTAATTTTTCTTCCCGTTTGTGGGTTTGTTTTGGTATATTTATTTCTAGGCTCCTACTACAGCCTATTTCTAGGCTACTAACTTTGCAATAGTGTTTTGAACTCCTGCAGAGTAAATGCAAGCGTGCAGGCTTGCCTCCTTATGTCCTATGGTCTCCTTAGAATAATTCATAAGTCTCTGATGTAATTCAGAAGTTAATTCAGAAGTTAATTCAGAAGTCCTTCATCAACCTCCGTAGGCAATAGCTGGAAGCAATCCTGCACTGCTTTGAAACTAGATGATCCCTTAAAATTCCCACAAGTTTTGTGATATAATTTTAAATGAGATTATCTCTTTAGCTAGTCAAGTCTAACTGTTGAGTTTGCGATAAGCCAGAAAGCAATGCCAGACACTGGGAAGCACATTATCTGCCCCTCAATCGTTAGGATGCATTTTAAAGGATAAACATTTTATTTCATGCCCTACAGTGTAATTTCCCTGTACTCACAAGGAAATTCCATCCTGCTGTTATCACACATGTATATTGAGATAGTACAGGCTAAATTCAGCATATTTAGCTCATTATAAGAACTTCTTATAAAGGTGCCAACTCTGGTTGTCGTTAGGTCAGACAGAAACAATTATACTCCTCCACTGGGATATGCTCTCAGCTGTTACGACTGCAGTCACAACACTGAGCTCGCCAAAGTTTCATAGCTTCCCAAATAAAAAATGTCTGCCTGTTTTGATAGCAGTAGTTTCCCCTTTAACTTGAGGCAAGTGGCCAGGAGTGAGAAACACTGGGGATGCAGTTTGCCAGTGGAATAACAAAGGAAAGACTAAAGAGACTATTATACAGTGCCCTGCCTTTTAGCAGAACGCTGGCTATGGAATTTAGACCAACACAAGTGTAATTGTTAAATACGTACAGAATAATATAATTTGAAACAGAGCGTGCCTATTAGTAGGAGAAGAATATTATTCTCAAGACATCTTAATCAGCTGTCGTGACAGTAAGATAGTGTATTATATGATCAAGGGATTGCCTCGAGTGGATATTATTATTTCTAAGGAATACATCAATGTAGTAATGGCCTGGAGTAAAAGCAGACTGTGATACTAGTGGGACTGAGAAAATGCGCCATCCAGTGCGACATACAAAATGGGCACTGGCCTGAAAAGCTCTGAGATAAGAGTGGAGATGTGCAGAGAGTTTACCATGCTGAGCCATAAATCTAGTCTGGGTCCTGCTTCTCATCAGAAGCCACTACAATTTGTTTTCTTTTGCAGTCTGTACAGTGAAAAAATAGGCCTGCCTGGAGCCTGAAAAGCCATGGGAAACATGTAGCTGTTTCTACAGTTAATAAATATGCGAAATAAAGCAAATAAAACATTCACCGTTCTGTTCACTATTCAATATGTAAGCTGAACTGTAACTTGGACATAAATCCCATGCATTGTGTACTGCAGTAGAGCCTTGATGAAGCAAAGTCTGCCAACAAAGGTAAGGAGGGCTTTAAAATTGTACTTTATAAAATTTAAAATAGCTAAAAAATATTTTTTAAAAAAAAGCTGAAGTAAGTTTAGTTTGAGAAATTTTTCATCTGTACTATTGGGAAAGGAATATGAGGATTAAAGTTGGTGTAGACTCTTGCAGCAGCTATACGAGACAGGTAAGAGCAGTATTCCCTTGGGGATTGGGGGTGGAAAAATCAAACCCCAAAATCCGTCATGGAAATTCTTCTGATGGAGTGAGGACACTACCTGAATTTTTTTTACATGTGGCATAAAAGGAAGAAAAGAGGTTTGCCTCCCTAAAAGACAGTGAGCACAAAAGTTGTATATCCCTGGTCACTGCAGAAGACACTGACCCTTAGAGCACCCCAGCAAGCTCCTTAGAAAGGAGGCAAAACTTTTAGGACCGTGGTGCTGCTGAAGCTCCTACAAGCCCATCATTTACTCAGCACGTGAAGGAAAGTGAGTAAGCAGATGCCTTTAAACAACAAATTCTGTGCAATAAGAAATTGAGGTCAATTGCCTTGTTTGCCACATAATGTTACAATTCAATGCCTCAGTACAAGTCTGAGTCAGGAAGCTTCAGCTGCTTCAACTCAGCCAACCTATTACAGGGGTTAATCTTTTTCTTACATTTTAACTGCTTGACCTTTTACCGTGTAAGATGCGGGAAGCGCCGCTTCTTTGTATTTTCATGCTTCTATAAAGCTATGTTGTGGGCTTCAGGAATATGTTAAGAAAGAGAGTAAGATTTCTGTCTCTTGAGCTACAAAATCTTGAAAAATCACTTGCAAAGGATATTTTGGAAAAAAAATAACATTTTGCCTTTTTGGGAAAGCACTTTTGATGAGCATTTTATGGATTTTGGCTTTTAGGTCCTGATTTTTTTCCTTCTTTGAGATCACTGTCAAATCTGTTCTTTTTTGAAGGCTGAATTTACTGAAGAGGCTTTCTTTGGAGTCTCACAGATGATTAATGTGAGCTACCCATCACATCGGATGTGTGGGAATGTCAATTAGGACGTGCTGCGTTCGAGATACTGAACTTAAAATTGCAGTTGGCAAAATTGAGCAGAACAGAGTATATGGAATCTTTACTTGAAAAAATCTGAGAAAATCCTAACACAGTTGAAAATATCCATCCTCTGGGATAAAAGCAGTTGCCTACTGTTTAGTCATACCTGAGTCTTCGAGGCCAAATGTTGATGATTTCTACTAGAAAAGCCTGACCAGAAGGGAAAGTTACTTAATATTAATGGGAGTTTTGAGAGATGCAGAGCTGACGTACATACACATTTACACTGCTAAGTGTACATATGCTTCACCCTTCCAGATCACAGATCTTTTACTTTTGGGTGGATCTGGAAAGGGCATTTGTCTGTGCTTTCCAATGCATCAGCCTTTGTTTCCAGCAGCTGTGGACTCCTGTGCTGCATGAGGCTTTCATGATCAGACACTCCTGAAACTCAAATTCTTGAGTCTTTCTCATTATGGACTTAAAGCAATCACGGATGGCAAACTCTTCTGAACCCACCCCTCTCTTTTAATATGGCACGTAAAAATATGGTGTATGCAATGTGAGAGATGGAAACAGACCTTCAAAGTGGGTCTTCCATATTGTTGCAGAAGTCATTGACATAGATGAGAGATTAATTTGCTCATGAGCTGAAAGCATCTTGTACCTAAATGAGATCCATCTCAGGAAGTTTGCCAGAAGCATCTAAAATGGTTTTACACATTCCATTTAACGTGCCCCAGAGAGGGAACTGTCTGGACACGCTGTCTTTGAGTACTGCGAAGGAAGTAAGTTTTCTGCTCTGGAGACATGTGGATGCCACACTGATTGTACCTGGGTGATCCTATGAACAGAGAAAAATTTTATAAAGTCCCCTAATTCCCTGGAAGACGGCAAGGAACAGAACATCGGAGACCTGAAGGCATGCTTTTTCTCCTCTGCTAGGCAGGTATACAAGCGGTTTCAAATTCTTACCCAGCTTAAATCTGTGCAACAGAGGACAAAAGAATACAGAAAAGAAGAAAAAGGTTTCTGTGCTCTGCAGAGCATCAGCCTAATCCTTGGCATGAGCAAGAGCAGAAATCATTCTAATTTATCCCAGTTGTCTTCTATTCATAGGTGCCATGAAGGAATATCTGATGGAAAATACTTTGATTCCTCTTATACGAACCAGAACTTGGTATAGGAACGGTTATCATAGTTTGTTTTTCCAGAGAGAATCCTTTGGTGGTAGTTTTAGGGCTGCTTTATAAGTGAATGAGAGTGAAGCGGATTTCAAACATTGAGCAATAAATCTTCTTCTTCCTCCAAACCTTGTCCCCTTCAATATTCTTTAATCAAGTCTGAAGTTTTTGCAGTTTTGATTACAAAATTTAACTTGGAGTAGACAAGTTACATGTACAATCACTCCTAAATAGTAAGTATCAGCAATGATGGTAGTTGACTACACTAAAATGTTTTCCTTCTTGCCCACATTTCCTGAGGAACTGAAGGACCTAAGAGAGTGATTTTTTTTCATGCCATTGCAATATATTGTATTATCGTAATATATATGATTTCAGATGTATCTTTTCTATATTTTATTGTGGATTTCTACCATTTAAATGTTATTCTTCTAATCGTGATTGGACTTCTATCCATTGACAAATGGGTAGGATTATTTCTATTACAAAACTGGAAGATGAGGCTAACATAAGTGTTAGGCTTTAACCAGAAAATTTAATTTACTCTATGCTTGCGTTCTGAATAGCTGTTTTTTACAGAGCTTGTTCTTGCATCAAAAATGTTAGATCCTGAGAAATAAAACAACACAAAAAAGAGAATATTTGAGTAGGTAACACCCCACTGAGGATTATGTTGCAGCAAAAAACTAAGTTAAGACAGTTAGACATTAAAGTTTCTGTATTGCTTAAAATAGCCATTTAAAGTGCTTGGGGTATTAAAATACTCCTCCTAAGGTATGAGAAACGAGCAAAACATTGTAATTATTCCTGGATCACAATTCTTTCCTTGCCAAACATGGAGAAAGTGAATTTCATCTGCTATACCTGGGTCTATGTTTGTGCTTGATTATTAAAGCTATAAATGAAACTGCGGTACTTTGAAACCATTAAGAAGTATTCAAATGGATCAGAAGAAATAATAACCTCATTCAATCAGTCTAATTTCAGTTGATTCACTTATCACCAAAATCTATATAATGTAACATCTTGTTGACCATGGTCTTTCTATTTTTAACACAATTTGAATTTCCTTCTACTCCCTGTGGACATTAACATGCCAGCACACAATTTAAACAACAAAAACACTGAACTAAAGTGCTAAAATTCCTTCTAACTTACCATCCTGTATATCTTGTTATTTAACCTCTCCTATTTGCTATTGCTCTTCAATGTTGACTATTTCTCAGTCTCAAATAAAATATCTCCGTTCAGATATCTCTATTTTTTTGGTTCAACTTATTTATAGTCATGTAAGCATGTTTCAAGAATTCATACACATTATACTACATTAAAATACTTTTTCTTGAATAATTTTAAAGTTTTTATAGCATCTTAAATTTCTCTTGTGCTTAATTAAAAGGGCAAGTACTCCTGAAATTTTTGACAATAAGCCCTCCTAGTCCTAAAAATTAGAGCCACTACTTATTTCACCGGATTTAGCTGAAACCACATGACTGATTAACTGATGTGCGTTCATGATTTCTTGAAACACTTGTAGGCTGTGCATCAGCATCTGAGAAGCATAAATATAAGAACTTATTCATTTTCCATCAAAATAACAGTTGTAAGGACTTCTGATGAAATAACTTTTTTGAGATTTTTTAGGCAAGAAGACTTGAACAAGGAAGTAAGAGTAAAGCATTACGTTGCTATTTTCAAAATAAAAGCCATCTTTTTGAAACAGGAAAGGTTCTGCTAAAATAAAATTTCCCAAAATGCCATACCTGCATTACTTGTTAAGCTAAAACTCCCACTGATATGACAGAGAGCAGAACAGAAGGACCATCTGATGATGATGATAATATGTTGATGGTTACAAGGGGTAACCTCTTACGCAGGAACACAGAAAGGACAATGCAGAGATCTCTGTTACTACAGATGTTTCAAATCTTTCAGATTCAGTGTGGCAGCCAAATATTCCTAGGACCTCTTGAGACAGCTAATTAGCTACCTGTGTGGTCTCTGTCAGATCTGTGTTTTAGTTCTCTGGTTAAAGCAAGCACAAAACTTTTCATACGCTCTCTATACACCTGCAGAGGAAACTTCAGTTTTCCAGTTTATAGTGTCAAAAAGTCTAAACAAAGTTTAGAGAGATGTTTGATTTACTGGGACCGATCCAGCTTAATACTGAAATAATAAAAGTCATGGAACAGCAGGGTAAGAAATCACTTAGGGTGGTAACATCTGACTATGTGGTACAAAGAGCAGCCCACCTCTGCTTCACACAGGTGGGACGTGTCCAGGCTCAAAGGGGCCCCAGAAGGAAGTGTCCAACCCCTTTCACCTCTTGTTGGCTGCCATGAGATGGACCCAGGATGGTAAAAGCTGAAAGGCTGGATGACCCCAAATCATCCCTGACAGCACAGGCAGTGTGACGCCATCAAAAAAAGCAGGACCCTCTGCAAACTTAGTTTTGGCTAGTTCCTCAACCCACCTCTTAGCAGGATTGAGCATCGTATATAATGTATGTTGACCCTGTTCTGTTTATCTGGTGTGCTCTGAGATTTCAGAATGGGTGGCTGAACCTCCTGGTTACAAATTTCTTGGAAAGTTATAGCTTAGGTTAGAAGAATCACGTGTCAAGATTTGTATGAAAAGCTACTTGCCAAGTTTACAGTCAACAGATGAGATTACAGAAGTGAGTTATTTCACATGGGAAATGAGATAATATCAAAGAAAAATCTCTGCTCTTTTCCAGAAATGTCCTTTTCCCTATCCCGTAGTAGATTAGTCTTTTCATGTGGTAAATGAATGATACCTTCCATTAATCACCATATACCCTCAAAATGGTTTAATAGAATTAGAGAACTATTACTATTACAAAAAACTATTAAATGAAGTATCTTCTACAAACTGACCACATCAAATGCAGTGAATACATGGCAGTAGTGGTGATTAGTCTTCAAGTCTTTAGTGATGTACGCAAATGTAGAAAGGTCTTCAGGGTCTTGTGCAGCACAGGAAATGTTACGGATTTCATGTTCAGCAATAATATTCTGTTTAAAAAAAAATATTTTTCAATCAATTTAGGAATTAAATGTACAAGAGCCATAAAACATGTGTTTTAAGATTTGCATTTATGCCTATCTGCTGTACTGAACTGTTTCCAAATTTTCATATTGAGAAGAGATTTTTAACACATGCCACATGTGATCTTATATAGGTCATTGGAATTTTGACTCTCTCCAATGATATCTAAAACTGCCAATAATCTGGTAGGAAACAATTACATTCTAGAGCCTTCCCTATGAGTCTGCTTGAGTTTTGTACAGTTTATTCAGTAGCCTATGACAAAGAGACATCTTTCCTGGCATACAGCTGTAAATACAGTTTCAAAGCACTAGACGAGCATCTTACAGCGCTGCTAGTTTTCTGTATAATGATCACTACACGACACTGTTTCCATCTACTGACAGAAAGGATCTGGTGAACCCAACAGGCTCAATACCCAGGTTTTAGCAAGTGTTGTTTGACAAATTTCAGCTATACCTTTTCAAGAGGAAAACTATCAACTTCACTTATAATTTAAACCCTGAGCTCTTGAAAGGCTTCTGCTTAGTAAAAAGGTAACTACAGGAGGCAACTTCTCTCCACTTACTGAAAACAGCATCCTGTAAGAGAGATGTAGAAAAATTAAACCATTCATGCACCGAGCAACACTACTTGCAACAGCCAATGTAAGCTACAGCGTCTACTGAGATAAGAGGTGGGGCATGTCTGTCTGATGAAATAATAAAAAAAAAAAAAAGCTGTCTTAAAGCTTTGGAGAAAATTATGAATATTCACTGCATAAATTGCTGATATGTAATTACTGTGTCGAGGCCAAAGGAACCATGAAGCCAGAGAAGAAGATACTGCAGAGTGGCTTATGATTAGGCCTTGCTTCAGCAACACACGCATTTCAAATGACTGATTTAAAGAGAAGAATGATTCACTGAACATGAATTTACTTAACGGTTAGTTTATACACTTTTCTGAGCTGTGGCCCTGCTGGCTGCAGTCTGGCTTTTCCACAAAACCCCAAAGCAAAGAAGTCTGCTACAGCACGGCATCGCTACTTCATCACGGAACACATGACATCTGTAGTGTTTGCTGCTACCTCAGCAGCAAAGTTAAAACAATCCCTGAGTGGCTCTGTTTTTCTCTCACTCCCCCCTTTTCTCTCCCATCTCCTTTCTCCCCCCCTCCCCCTTTTTTTTTTAAAGAATGGGAAATGTATGCAACTAAGTCACTTAAGATGCTTTGCCATATCCTCTTTCATTTGCTAAGTGGCAACCTCCCCCCTTGCATGTAGATGCCAAGTTTTCAAAAAGACATATTAATATATCTAATTGAAGAAATCATAGCATAGGAAAAATCTTAATAGAAAGCATTCCAAATTTCAAATTATGGGAAAACCAAGATAAGGAAACTGTTACTGAAGAAGTGAAATAATCCTCTTAACTCTTAAATTGTTGCAACCTACTTGATTATTTCTGTTTAATGCATTATTCATAACAATGACAAAACCACTGCTTATGTTTCAATATATGCCAATTTGTAACGACATGTATAATCTCTGCTTAACAATCATTGGCTTTTTATGTTACTTTAAGCATTTTACGTTCTTTGTTCTCAAACTGATAACTTTTACCCTCAGTAAGGATGTTGATGAGAATTACAATTTTACCAAAACCAGGGATTTAGATATCCATAGATATCTACGCTGTTGTTGCTGTTGTATTGGAAACATTGTAGTTTAGAAAGCAAAAAGAATTAAAGCTTGAAAGGGCTTAAAATCATGTGAAGTACTTGTGCCAAATCATGAGCCACAAAGTAATTACCTGAAGTTATGCAGCGTTTGTGAACAGAGCTCTGCCTTGCTGGAACTTTTCCTAGGTGACCTGTGGTTGACATGGGGCTTTGCGCTGTAGTCAAAACCCATGGAGGTTATTTTAACGTTTTAACTTTAAACCAAGTGAAGTTTGCAAGCATACCCATATCAAGTTTGTTTCGCTGAAAATCAAGCATACCTAAACTAAATCTTCTGCGTGAAAATTAGCACTGAAATTGTGCTTTTTCCCTAACTTCTATGGGGTACCTATCCTCTGTGATCTCCTTTGAAAACCAAACACATTTTCAGTGCATGGGTCTGTTTTTTCCTAGGGTCACTACTCCAGCAGACTCAGAGTCTTATTCTGGAGAAATTACAAGGCTACAAACCAGCTCGCTGTTCTGGGTGCACTCCTCAGGCATTGACTGACACTGTACAGCCGTCGCTCTAAAAACTGTCACTCGGTTTGGCAAGAGAAACCTCCGGCGCTTCGCAAAAAAGCAGGGAAGCTGCAAGTCAGTTCTGGCTCTGCCAAGGAAATACCTCGGAGAGATCAGCATTTTCCTCGGCAGCCTCCCTTCTGCTTGCCTCCCTCCTGTCAGCCAATCCTCCTCCTGGCAGAAATCACCCAGAAGTTAGGGCTGAGCTGTGACCCACGAGAAAATTCTGCAAGTTTGTGCTTTCTCCTAAGCAGCAATTCCTTTCTGGCCTCACTTGCAAAGAAATGGTGTCATGTCAAAGTGGTGTCATGCCAAGCTTCAAGGCGCCACTGAAATAGCTGTCGTGGAATGAGGTCAGGGCCCCTTTGTCACCTGAAGCTTTGCCTGCTACGACTTGGAATACAAATTCTTAGCTTGGTGGCATAAAGGAAAAGGATGAACAGCCATGAGAGCTGAGTTTACAAGCACATAACTGCTCGCTAGTTTTGTTATTAAAAAAAGTATGCATTCATTGCTAAGTGGTGCCCAGCGCTGTCAACTATAAGCTCATATGGAAGCGGTACAAATCTCACCTTAGCGCTAATCTGTTTTGGGTCTTGAAGGAATTGGGTACAGCACACTGTGGACAAGGATGATAACAATGCTCCTGGGAGAGTTGCAGGCTATTACCTGGTTTTTACAGAAGGGAAAGGCAGTGCAGATTTTGAACTGGAGAGAAAGCAATCTACCACTTGAGAACAAACACAGGACCGTGGCATCATTTACTTCCATCAAACACATCTATCGCACTACTAGGCACGAGATTTCAGTGGGACTGGTACAGAGCCACCTAAGGCATTTTGCCAAACTTCTTTCCAGTTCCCATGTTATGTAAGATTATATGCACTGTAAGAAGAGATACAGAAGTTCCTTTTGTCCTCCTGATTTTTTTGTGTAAACCCACGAACATTGCAGTTACATCCTTTACACTACAGAGGAGAATTAAGAGCTGAAAACAGCCTTATCCAAGTTAGAGTTAATAACATTACAACATCCTGATTTACACCCTGTACATCAGAGAACAAAAAGGAAATGAGGGTTGTAGAAGCTTAGTTCTGAATCAATGGGAGAAAAAGGAGCTGACAGGAATCCCTGGCCTCTCTGCTCTGGCAAACAGGCCAGACTTGACATAACAGTAACTTCACCTATGTTTTTCTTTCATGCCATCTTCTAAGCCTAGACATGTTTTCCAAAGTCTAGCACAAGTTCACAAATCTGCTTTCATTCCTTCACTTAGAACCCAGTTCTAGTTAAACACTTCTAAAAACCAACTGATTTGGCAAGTTTGACAGATACTGGGGTAGATGGATCGTGCAGTCTGAATGTTCAGCAACACAAAGCAGTTATATATATTATTAACCTGGTCAGGTAGCTGGGTTGTCAGATTTATTTTTTATATTGCTTAGTGAGTTTTAGTCACATAACAGAAAAGATAATCTCTTTTTTATTCATATGCAAGGATCAGTATGGATTGCATTTTCTTGTCATTTTAGACATCCGAAGAAGAGAAATTCATGCATTACTTTACTCCTGCTTACAGAGCATGTACATTTTACTTTGGCTAAGCAATAACCCATTGCTCCATCCATCACTGAGTTCTCTGATCTCTCAATTTATGCTTTTGTTTGTGTTTTTTCTTTCTGTAAAGATGTTGGATGCATTTTAAAAAGTAAGAAACAAATCACAGGGGCACTACCACACAGGAAGATGAAAAAAGTATGGAATAACAACTGTTAAGAAGTTGCTGCAGTTCAGGAAATCAAATGGCCAGTATCAGGAAAACAGCTCTCAGAGAGGCTCTGACATTTGAAAAAAACATTGAACGCTCATGTCTCTTTTTCTAACAATGACTGGCCCTGGATAAAACTTTGCATCTTTATTATTCATTGAGGTTTTTTTTCTTGGCCAAAATTATGCAAATGGATAAATATATATATATTCTGCATATTTAAGGAACTATATAGGGAAGACTACAGTAAAGGATTCCACAAAGGCTGCCTGCTGAATGTCTTGTGATAAGCTTGCCCTTTAACGGTAGAAGGTTGGACACAATGTTCTTCAGATGAGCCATTAAAGCTGCTTCACTCATGCTCCAGACTGAGTTTCTGGAGAATGAGATTACATCCATTTAGGAGGGCAGAGAAGAAAGAGCGTGCAATTCTGTCCCCTCTCTGTCCTAGTGCTCTTACAGAGCCAACCTCATAGGTATTCCTATTTGTGAGCAATAAAAACTAATATTCAACAGTTGCACGTACCTTATTTGTTGCATCAATAAATTTGACTCCCTTGTAAGAGACAGACAGGACAATGGTTGGTACTTTCTTCATTTGTTCTGTAGACTTCTGAAATCAAAATGAAGATGCCAATAAGAGTTGTGCTGCGTTGCGAGAACAGTGCTTTTCTTCTGGCAAAATACGTAAGGTAAACAAAAGGTACACAAAACTGGGAGGAGTTGTTGACACACCAGAAGGCTGTGCAGCCATTCAGAGAGACCTAGACAGGCTAGAGGTCTGGGCGGGGAGAAATCTTATGAAGTTCAACAAGGGCAAGTGTAGAGTTTTGCACTTGGGAAGGAATAACCCCATGTGCCAGTACAGGTTGGGGACTGACCTGCTGGAGACAAGTGTAGGGGAAAGGGACCTGGGGTTTCTAGTGAACAGCAGGATGACCATGAGCCAGCACTGTGCCCTCATGGCCAAGAAGGCCAATGACATCCTGGGGTGTATTAGAAGGTGAGTAGCTAGTAGGTCGAGAGACATCCTCCTGCCCCTCTACTCTGCCCTGGTGACGCCACATCTGGAATATTGTGTCCAGTTCTGGGCCCCTCAGCTCAAGAGAGACAGGGAACTGCTTGAGAGAGTCCAGCACAGAGCCACCAAGGTGGTGAAGGGAGCGGAACATCTCCCTTATGAGGAAAGGCTGAAGGAGCTGGGTCTCTTTAGCTTGGAGAAGAGGAGGCTGAGGGGTGACCTCATTAGTGTTTATAAATATGTCAAGGAGGAGTGTCGAGAGGACAGAGCCAGGCTCTTCTCAGTGATGTCCAATGACAGGACAAGGGGCAATGGGTACAAGCTGGAACATAGGAGGTTCCATAAAAACATTAGAAAAAACTTTTTCACTGTGAGGGTGACGGAGCACTGGAACAGGCTGCCCAGGGAGGTTGTGGAGTGTCCTTCTATGGAGACATTCAAAACCCACCTGGATGTGTTCTTGTGCAATCTACTGTAGGTGATCCTGCTCTGGCAGGGGGGGTGGACTAGATGATCTTTTGAGGTCTCTTCCAACCCCTAACATTCTGTGATTCTGTGAAATATTTGACTTTTTCTTGAGCTGACTATGCTCTCAGCTTTCGAAATAGCTGTCTTATAGCTAAAACTAAAAAGCTTTACAGTTTGTTGTGAGGATGGTGAAATTTCTCCTTTTTCCTAGTACAGTGGGAAGAGAATGAAATAAGTTTGCCAGACTTAAAAAGACCAGTCATATAATCAGGGCTTTCTCAAAACATGCATATTTAAGACATCTATTGGATATGCCCCCTTCACTTCTGCCTCCTCTCCCCTCCTCCTGCCCTTCTCAGCTGTAAAAAACAACAGCGTGGCACTTCTCGCAGTACTGCTTCTTTGCTGCTATCAGTTGTTATTCAGAAATATTTCTCCCCCTTGCCTTCTCGCAGTTGTATCTGTGACTTGAGGTATCCCTGCAGCCCTCTAGCCCTGCCAGTCAATCTGTCAGTCCAATCTTGTATCTTGTCACGTCTGACCGTCTGCACTTCCTCAAGTGCAGCTGCTACGCGAAGCTGCTTTACACATGAATTAACACGAAGGCTTATCTTGCATTCCCTCGGTGCCAGGTTCTCTTACCTACAGTTCACGTCTCCCTGTAAGGCTATTTTTATGATTATGCTAGTCTACTCCTGCGCGTCTTCAACATGATGCACGCAGCAAAGATGTTGCCTGATGAACATATTGGGCAAATATTTGGGATAGATTTATGTTCTCTGCAGAAAAACCTGTTGATTACAGATGAAATTTACTAAAACGATCCCAAAACCAACCAACCAAAAAATGAAATACGGCATAATAGTTTAGAGCTGATTTGAATTCTTTTAAGGTGGAAGGCAATAACAAACCAGACTATTCTACACAAAACTACTGTAGATAAATAAAATAGGTAAAGTTCAGAGAATCACTCATGAGAGTATCCACAAACAATCACAAAGATCGATCAAACATCTTCTTGAGAAAGAAGTAAGAAAAGAAAGAGTAAGTTCAGTTACAACTAAATTTGAAGAAACATCAGCACACAGAATGAGAGTGTAAACCCAAGGAAAAGTCTAGAATTGGCACCTAGGAAAATCACTAGACCAGCTGAACAAAAGTAGCAGCAGTGGTTCTGTACTTTTCAAGAAAAATAAAGCAGCACCAATATAAGCTTGAAAAACTGACTGTATCTGAAAAAAATATGTCTGAAAAATAGGTGATACTAACACTAAAGAGCAATACAAACAAAAAAGAAAAGACCTGTCATCAAATCTCATTATCAGATCTCATTCCTTCCAGAATCAAAAGATAGTCCATTTTTACCAGCATAAAATTCAAAGCTACAGATCCAGCTGCATTCTGCAATTAGTGTCTGTGCCATGAAGGTTAAAACCTCTAAAGTTTCAAGGAGAACCCCATCCATCCTTGTATTAGAGAGGACTGTTTCATCTCCTGGTATCAAATGACAAGAGTCTCAGGATGACAATCAGGTGTCAATTTATCCTGGAGAAAGCTCCTTTCACCCACAAGACTAGGAACTTTTACAAAACAGAAGCTTAAATGGTAAAACATCCTGAAAAATCTAACAAAACCTGAAGGAAGACACCAATCTGATTTGCCTGTCTCTGAACTGAGTGGAGAAAGGAAGGGTATCCCTGCCAAAAGCTGAGCAAGTACATACATCTGTGTGTGTGTCTCTACAATGGATCTCAAATGAGCCTTGTCATAAAATTCGATTTCAATGCATAGAAAGCATGACAGTGACTGTACGGAAGCTGCAGTACATACATCTATCAGGATAACAAGCAATATACCCCGCATATGCTCATAACCAGACAAAATATTCACAAATATCACAACATCACTTTAATCATCTGGCAACCCTGCAATCATCCAACTTTTGTCCTGTCTTTCTATTCTGACAGTTATGCTCAGGAGCTCTTTGTCTCCCATTTTGATTATTGTAATTATCTCCTTCCTCGCCTCCTTAGCAGCAAAATTCCTCTTCTCCTCCAACACACTATACAAACACAGCTACAAAGTTCATTTATATTTGCTTTTTGGTCTAATTTGCACTATCTTCGATTTGCCATACAGGTGAAGCTTTCTGTTGGCACGGCGATGTTGTACTAACCATCTGCAAGTCCTCTTTCATCTAGACCAGTAGTTTGTAATTTAATCATCTTCCTTATCTGCTCCACATTCACCTGGGTTTGTCTAGAGCAGAGCTGATCTTTAGTATTTAATCGAGGTCATGAACTGCCAGAAGACTGTATGAGTGAAACAGCTCATCAAGATACTATTAAATTATAGCTGGCAAACTAGGAAATGAATCAGAGACTGATGGACATTTTTAATTTATTAAGCCAAACTGTCTCAGCTGGTAACGGAGCAGGGGATGTTCCTTATCGGCTTGCAAATCATACAAACTCTAGGGCTTGTGCAAAGGTGGTCTGGAAGACTACAGTCCAGTGTAGAAATACGATTTTGGCACACAATCCTGCACTTGCACCCCAAGTGCAACAAACTGTTGGGCAGTGGAATAACATTCTTCCCTACTGTGACAGTGCTATCATGAAAAATACACAACTCTACTCCCCCTGCCCGACTCCCAGTGATACAGTAACTGAAGTTCACCATATAACTACTATTTCCAAGCTGTTTCCAGACTTCACCAGTTTGTCCTAGTGAGCTCATAATAGTTGCCTGTTGTACCTTTCTTCTTAATGGAGCAGGTGGCTGCCAGGATGTGTAACCTGAGTTTTCGGAGATATTATATGAATACCATTCACTCAGGCACTGTGGGCGGTTTGGCTCTTAATTCTAGGATGCTGAGATGAAGTCCCACAGCTTTCATGGTCAGACATTTCACCTCTGTGCAGGCCAAGTGGGCATCTTTGCCTACACCTGTGACCAGAATCTGAGAAGAGGGTGGGACACAGGAGTCAGTGTCTCCTTTCTCTGGGCTTTTCAGGTTCTAGCCACTCTATCAACTGCAAGATGACAAAATATTCTTGTCCATCTGGTGCCTCTATGGGAAGCACATGGACTCAAGCCAAAGTTATAGGAGCCGCAGCTGAAGGCTGGCATTGCATGTCATGTGCATGCTGACATATGGTCTAATGCTCCAAGGCATGTTCATATCATAGTAGCAGGATTAGAGTTTATCTCATGTAGAAGCAATCACAGTGACAGGACCCTGTCTCTGGGCAAGTGCTCACTAGCCTGGAACTGGTCGTAGTCCCTATGAACTCCATCGTTTGTGACCGTAACTTTGGCTCTTTGTTTTAACACACTTCTTCAGGAGAATCATCTGGACGAACAGCAAGTGTACTCTAGGCTTGCTGCCACTGCCTGCCTCTGATCCGCAGGTCAGCTACATAAGGACAGATGTGCGTGCCCTGTCTCCTCAGGTGCACTGCTCCCGCAGGGAGGAATCTTAATTCTGCACCTTCTGCAGTACCAGAGAGTCTGAGCTTTTGTCCCTCTTCTGAAACACTTCCCACCAGACAGGTAAACGACTCTGTGGAAGGAGGCCACGTGTAACTCAACAACCATAAAGTGCATTTGACTGCAGACACAGGAACATGGAAGAAAGCATCACCGTCCTAAATCTAACATGACATATGTTCAGCTCTCCCAGATCCCCCACAAGACATAAAGCCTATTTTTCTTCAGAATAAAGAATATCAAGTATAGCAGCCTGGCCCATACTTTGATGCAGCTGTTGTGATGAAGCTGCTTCATCCCCTCAGCACCCAGAATGGATCCCCAGCACCCAGAATGGAGATCTGTCCACTAAAAGGAGGTGGAAGACAACTTCTGCACAATTGCATAGTTATTACAGTGCTTGCTTTTAAAATAAAAGTCTGGATTTAAGACCCTTCTGGATTTGCATCTGAACCCACTGCTGCCATCAGGCAGGACAGTGCCAAACTCCTGAACAGCCTTGGCCAGGGCTGCTCCCAATTCCTCTCTTTGAAACTGGTCATAAAGGGATGCAAGAGCTGTGGTGCCAGAGAGAGCAGTGCAAGGTTGCTTCTGATCTTGTTTATGAATTTTCTTCAGTTTCACTGAAAACA